CAGGATCAGTTTGCTCAGCCATTTACACCTGTTGCGCTCTCCCCGCCTTCTTACCAGCCTCTCCATTCTCAGGTGCGTGTGGTGCGCAGGTGAGGGCGTCTGTGAGGAGGGAGACACGCATTGCTGCCCAAACTTACCAATAGATAGGTGGCATGTGAGGTCAACGTAAACCGCGTAACCCCGTTTTATGGCAGACGCCTGTGAACACCTGGCCCAGCTTCTGGGAACCAGGCTGGAAGCAGCTGCTCACATCGGAGAGCCCGCCGTCTGGATTTCTACAAGAGCGTTTTTTTTTGTGTTTTGTTTTTTTTGTTTGGTGTTTTTTATATATATATTTTATTGATTTTTTTCAGAGAGGAGGGAAGAGGGATAGAGAGTCAGAAACATCGATGAGAGAGAAACATCGATCAGCTGCCTCCTGCACACCCCCTACTGGGGATGTGCCCGCAACCCAGGTACATGCCCTTGACCGGAATCGAACCTGGGACCCTTGAGTCCGCAGGCCGACGCTCTATCCACTGAGCCAAACCGTTTAGGGCCAAGAGCGTTTTTATAGAAGAAAGTAAACTCCAGTTTTAACTTGTAAGTTAAGAGTCAAAGATGAAATGCGAGTGTCGTGTGACTCAGGCTGGTGGAGGGCCCACTTTGGTTAGTGAACCACGACTTTCCAATGTCTGCTGTCTATTTTGTTGTTAATCCTCACCCAAGGATATTTTCGCCATTGATTTTTAGAGAGAATGGAAGGGAGGGAGGGAGAGAGACGTTGATGTGAGATACATCGATTGGTTGCCTCCCGCACATGCCCCGCGGTGGGGGGAGGTAGGGTTGGAGCTTGCAACCCTTGACCAGAATCAAAACCTTCAATCCGCAAACCAACGCTCCAACTACAGGGCCAACCGGCTAGGGCTGCCTGCTACCCATTTAAATGTTAGCTCCGGCCACACTAAAACTCGCCTGAATCTTCCCCGGTAACGATGAAGCTCTGAGAGGTGCCGGAACCGGGGTGGGCATTACCAGAGTGGAGGGTGACACTGCCAGGCCCCACAGTCAGAACCCCCTGGGTGCCAGCCTGGACCAGCCACTCACCAGCCCCTGGCACCGCCGGAGCCGGCAGACAGATACCATACGTGACTGAGCTTCAACCTGAAATGACGGAAACTTACCAGTAGATAGATGGCATGATAGATAGACGGCAGCTGAGAGTTGAGTTTGCTCTCTGCCGGGCAACGGGACCGGAGCTCAGCGGAGATGAAACTGGGACCCAGTAAAGACAGGTCCCTGGAGGCCATGGCCTGTGACTGGGATTGGACACTCCCCATGTTAGGTGAGCTTTAGGGAGTCATTGTAACGTGAACCGAAACCTGCTGCGCTCGGCTGCCAGGCCCTGAGCGGGAGCCTTTCTGCGGGGAGCTCGCCAGCCCCACGGCAGCCCCGCAGGCGCCTGACTCACGTTTCACGGAGCCGGGAAAACCCATGGGCTCGCAGACAGAACTCACATATGGGAAGCCACCTGGAAGCTGGCCAGTGGGGAGCTGGCTTCAGCGCCAAGACCCCCTGCTGTGGGTCGATGCCCTAACCCCTCAGCCCTATGTCCCCTAAACCCGTGGTCGGCAAACTGCGGCTCGCGAGCCACATGCGGCTCTTTGGCCCCTTGAGTGTGGCTCTTCCTAAGCCTTAGGAATACCCTAATTAAGTTAATAACAATGTACCTACCTATATAGTTTAAGTTTAAAAAATTTGGCTCTCAAAAGACATTTCAATTGTTGTACTGTTGATATTTGGCTCTGTTGACTAATGAGTTTGCCGACCACTGCCCTAAACCCATCACTTTTTTTAATCCTCACCCAAGGATATTTTCCCATTGATTTTTTTAGGGAGAGTAGAAGAGAGAGGGAAAGACAGAGAGAAATATCAATGTGAGAGAAACACATCCATTGGTTGCCTCCTGCATGAGCCCAAACCAGGGCCCAGGCCGGGGAGGAGCCTGCAACCAAGATATGTGCCCCTGACTGGAATCGAACCTGGGACCCTTTGGTCCGAAGTCCAATGCTCTATCCACTAAGCAAAACCGTCTAGGGCTAAATCCATCGCTTTTTAAATATATATATGCATTTTTATTGATTTCAGAGAGGAAGGGAGAGGGAGAGATAGAAACACCAATGATGAAAGAGAATCATTGATCGGCTGCCTCCTGAACACCCCTCACTGGGGAGTCAAGCCCGCAACCCCAGGCCTGTGCTCTGATGCGGAATCGAACACTGACCTCCTGGGTCATAGGTCGATGCTCACCACTGAGCAACGCCGGCCGGCCCCTCAGCCTCTTGTTTCGCAGCTGGGATGCAGGCCAAAGAGGCCAAGTGATTCGAGTCAAGCGAGGCAGCCAATCAGGAGGGCCTGGGAGGACATAGGTCCCTGCTGCCCTGGCCATTTGCTGAAGAAGAAAAACCGAGGCTGGAATGAGCCCCTTTCTGCGTCCCACCCGGGCAGGGACGGGGCTCCAGTCCTTGCCGTACCCCAGCTCATCCCAGCCCAGGGCGGCGGCAGTGGGTGGCCAGGGCACCTGTGGCGCCCAGCCCTGTGGGGTTGGCACCGTGAGCTGTGGTCATGCGTGGGCTCGGGCTGCACTGACCCCGCTGAGTCCAGCTGGCAGTGACCAGGCCCCTACCGCATGAGACACGTGCACGCTGGAAGGCCATTGTTGTTTCTCTGAAATTCAATTTATTTGGGCGCCTATAGCCCAGGCCTCTGAGTCCAGGGTACCAGGCGCCCAGCCTCACATTCCGGAGGCTGGGTCATTCCCAAAACACCAGGCTCTGGGAGGCCTTAGGGATGCAGACATCCTACCCGGGAGGCCCTCCCGGCCACAGCCACCAGGGGGCAGCAGCACCCAGCGCCCGAGCTCCTCTGCAAGTGGGGCCCTGACCCAGTTCTCAGGTCACCCTGTCACTCAGCAAAAGCTGGTGGAGCCGATGGGGACAGGGCTATGGGGACAGGGCTGTGGCCTGGCTCAGAGGGAGATCCAGGGCTTGAGGAAGGGGCTCCCGTAGCCTGTCCCCAAACCAGGCTGCTCCCCCGAAACTCCTCCTGAGCCCGACAGGGGAAGCCCACCCCCCAGCCCAGCCCTGGCCTCCTGCCTGGCCTGTGAACAGCTCCTGGGGCCCTGCAGCCTGTGCCTGCGGCCCCTGCCTGTCGGGAGTGGGCGATGCCCCCAGTCACCTCCTGAAGTGCCCACAGGGCCCCGCAGCCCTGGGCTCTGCTCACAGCCGCCCTGCCCTGGCATGCACAGGTGGGTGCTGTGGGAAGGGAAGGGTGCTGCCTTCACCCATCCTCCCCACCCCCCACCCACGGAGCTGGCCCTGAAGCCAGGGTCCAGGTCCACCCCCATGACCAGTGTCGCCTGCTTCCCATCTCTGCACGTCTCCATCCGAGCACTTCCCACACTGGGACTGCCCCACAGGGTGCCGGGTCCTAGCCCTGGCTCTGACCTCACATCCACAGGAGCAGGGGCCACTCCAATGCAAGGCCCAGGTCAGTGCCCCTGGCTCCCAGAGTCCTGTCTGGCTAGTGGGACAGGGAGGGCCTTGTCCAGGGTCAGGGAGCCAAGCTGGGAGGTGTGTGCCAGGCCCATGTGGGTGCATTTCAGGCAGGGACAGCGGGTGGGCCACACACTGACTCACTCGTCCATTCACTCAACTCACCGCTGAGCAGCTGGTTCTGCCCTCCTGGCCCTGCGGAGCAGCGCATGGGCGGCTGGGGGAGTGTAGGGGTACCGCGGGAGGACGGGGACAGCTCCTGGAGGAAGGGACACTGCATGGAGTCTTAGGAATGACCTGGCGTGGAGGGGGGTGGGAGGAGAAGAAGCTATGGGGGTAGAGATGGTGATGGAGAGAGACTTGGGGTGGTGGACACGTAACAATATACAGATGGTGTGTTACAGAATCATACACCTGAAACCTGTATAATTTCATTAACAAATGTCACCCCAATAAATTCGGTAATAAAATAGTAATTTAAAAAAGGAATGGCCTGGCATACGGATGAGATGAAGTTCGAGGCCACGGTCAGCCCCCGTTGGGGCCAGGGGCAGGGCGGTGCCCACAGCAGGGGCAAACCTGGGCTGGCTGATGGCTGGGGGGCAGAGGCGTGGGTTCCCCCACCCCACCCACCAGAAACAGGCTGCGAGGGCTGCCACTAAACGCAGCCGCACACTCGTCCCCAGGAGCCACCCACCTGCCCACAGACCCAGGCCACGTCCTCCGGAACCTCCACGCCAATCCTCTGCACAGGATGTGCCTGCAGGTGCGTCTGCAACACCCCATGCAGGACAGACACACTTCACGCTGGGCCCGTCCCACAGCTGTGCCCCAGACTCAGCCACAGACCACATCTCCCGTCCCTCCAAACACACAGGCACCCCCAACCACACAGACCTGCCCACGCCCAGGGAAGGGGCGCTGCTGGGGCCGCATGTGGCCTGCCTGACTTAGTTCCCATTCTGCCATTGACGTCCCGGGACCGAGTGAGCCCGGGGAGGGCCCGGCTGGAGTCGGTGATGGTCTGTGCGGCAGGGCCCGTCCCTCCCGGCTCCTCCACCTGCAGGAACCTCAGGCCCTTGTAAACTGAAGTGCGCAGGAGCCGGTCAGCCACGTGGGGGAGGAGTGCGCGGGCGGCCAGGGCATCCGTGCCACGCGTGTGTGCGGGAGACAATGGCCTCCTCCTCTGGGTGCACCCTCCGGTCATCTTGCTGATTATACCACAGGGTAGGGGAGGCAGGGGAGGGGGCAGTGTCCCCGGCAAACCTGCCAAGAACAGGCCTCTCTTATTCCCACCAGCGCTTCTCGGACCAGGCAGAGGCTGAAGAGCAGGCTGTGCAGGTCTGTAGACACAGCGACAACTACAGGGACACCGAGGGGTGAGTTTACCAACAGCGGCTGGGCCCACCCTCCCGAGGGCGCGAGCGGAGGGCAGCGGCTGGGGGCTCTCAGGGGCCAACACACGACTCGGAGGATTCTGTTTATTTGATCATTTTAATACAGGAAACGCCGGGCCGGCCACAGGACACCCCTGCATTCCTGGGGGGGCCTCCCCGCAGCGGGTGCGCATGCATTCCTCGGCCACGGGCGGGTTGGGCATAAATACCACAAGAGAACCGGCTCGGGAGGATCACAGGCCACAAGGGAACCACGCTCGGAGGCAATCGAGGCGTTAAATACGGGACCTACACGTGACACTTCACATCACAGTACGGGTAAGGACACAGGACAGGGAAGGCGACCGCGGCACAGACGTGCGCGTGGCTTCGGTTGAGAGAAGACGAGCTGGGTGCTGCCATGCATGGAGGCCGCCTCCTCGCCGCTCCCGTCCTCCCTCCCCATCACCTGCCATCACAAACACAGCCGGCCTGCACCACCTTCAGAGTCCCACCGAGTCCTCGTGGGTCCGGGGCTCCCATACGACCCCTGGACGCGGGCGGGAGGGTGGGGGGAGGCCAGGCGGAGGGGACACGGCTGCAGGGGGCCGGGTGAGTGCGGGGTCACCTGGCTGGCCGGGGTAGCAGGGATGATGGAGGAGGCATCCGCTGTTGCGAGCAAAGCTTAACCGGTGAGAGGCCTGGGCTCTTGCCGTCGGGCGGGCGCCGGGCTCAGAACTGGCTGGCGCTGCTGGGGTCGCACTGCAGCAGCCGCACGATGGACGGGTCGCTCTTGGCACCTTTGATGAACTCCTCCAGGGACAGCTTGCCTGGAGGGGGGGGGGGGGGGAGTCAGTGGTGCTCGCAGCCTTTCCCTCCTGAGCACGGGGACCCCTCAGCCACCCCCTGGGCCGTGTGAGCCTCACGAGGCCGGATGCCATCCCGGTGCTGCTTGCTTCGTGGGCGTTTCGGGAAAACCCTTTTGCTTCCCCTGCTCACGGCTGACGGGCACACCCAGTGTGGCCACATGCGTGGCCGGTGGCGATTTCAATCCTTTTAGAGTCACCCCACGCTTTACCTAAGGAAGGTGTGACTTGTCCAGAAAACACAGGGCCTCTGCCTCTCACCCGTAACCGAGCCAGGGTTGGGGGGCCTGAAGCAGCCCCGCCCAGGGTGACTGCCCACGGGAGGAGGGGAGGGGTGGCCCGGCCCAGGGTGACTGCCCACGGGGGGAGGGGTAGCCCGGCCCAGGGTGACTGCCCACGGGGGGAGGGGGGGCCCGGCCCAGGGTGACTGCCCACGGCGGGAGGGGTGGCATGGCCCAGATCACTGCCCACAGTAGGTGCTTCTGGCCCATCTGCCCCTGGGGTGGGTGGGGACTGGTGACACGTGTGCCACCCCGCGCAGACGCAGACGAGGTGGGCAGGACGGGGTTTGAAGCAGACACTGTCGGAGCCTGTGCTGCACTCTGCTGCCACCAGGGGGAGGAGACTGGGGGGGTCGAGGGGGCAGTAAGAGCTCGGCCCGTGCCCAGCATGTGCCCAGCGCTGAGGAGCGGTCAGTCACCAACCTCTCCGCCTCAGGGACTTCAGTGCATAGCGGGGCCAAGGGGACAGCCGTCGCAAGGCCCCTGGCAGGACTGACGGGAGGAGGCGCTGGAGGGGTTCGGCCCAGGCCTAGTCCGGGGGCCATCTCAGTTAGGGGGCTTCTGCCAGGCCGGGAGCGGCTGCAGTGACAGGTCCGGCTGTGGGCAGGGCGCCGCCTGTCCAGCGGAGAGGGCCCCCAGCAGGGACAGGCCGGCCGGCCCCACAGAGACTAACAGCGTCAGGCTGGGGTGTGGAGGGGGGGATCCTTCAGCACGCGGGCCACGCCCACAAGGCTGCTTGTGTCCCCATTTTAGAAACTCGGACACCAGGGCTCAGGGGTGCAGCCACAGGTGCGAGGACAGAGCGGGGTGCAGCCCCACGACCCTGACCTGCCCCCGGCTCTCCTGCAGCCCAGCGGAGGGCGGGTGCCTGGGGGACACGCTGCAGGGAAGGACCCGGCGCCCTACCGTCGTTGTTGGTGTCCATCTGCCTGAAGATCTTGTCCGTCCGTTTCTCCGGAGTGGACTCGTCCTCCGGCATCTTCATCACGGAGGACACCATCTTGTAAATAGCCTGCAAGGGCACATGGGGGCGTGAGCTCGGATTCTGGAACATTCCTGGGCGCTGGGGCAGGAGTGAGCTCCCGTCCAGCCCACACCTCGGCGCAGAGAGGGGGGATGCTCGCCGGCCCCCAGGACCCCCAGCTGGAGGCACGTCCCCGCCACTCCCGGCACCCGGCTGAGGATCACGGGTGGGGAGTCGGGCAAAGGAAGCCGGACACGGTGATGGGGGCTCAAGAGCCGGCCAACGACCCCACCGCAGCGGTCAGAAGAGGGGGGCCGCCTGGGGGGAGGTGCCCAGAAGGCGCGTGAGGGAGCCTTCAGGGGCTGGGAGCGCCCGTAGCTCCCCGAGGGGGTGACGCAGGCCGGTCTGAAAGCCCCTCCCGCTGCACACACCGCTAGGAGCGTCTCACTGTGATGCTGGACCTCAGTTCAGAATAAAGACTCCGCCCCTGAACCCCCAAGAACCACAGGGCCAGCCCAGCCGGGGCAGCTGGGGCGGGGGGTGCACTAGTTGCCAGCAGGATGGAGAACCCCTCCTCAGGCACTGCCGTTGAGGGCTTAGCCCCAGGGTCCCGCCGGGCAGGGGCCGTGCGTGGGATGTGTGTGCGCGTGTGCGCGTGTGCATGTGTGTGTGCGTGGGTGTATGTGTGTGTGTATGTGTGGGTGTGAGTGCGCGTGTGCGTGTGTGTCTCTCTCTGTGTGTGTGCGTGTGTGCGTGCGCATGGGTGTATGTGTGTGTGTGCATGTGTGGGTGTGAGTGCGCGTGTGCGTGTGTGTCTCTCTGTCTGTGTGTGTATGTGTGTGTGTGTGCGTGTGTGTGTGTGCGTGGGTGTGTGTGTGTGTATGTGTGGGTGTGAGTGCACGTGTGCGTGTGTGTCTCTCTCTGTGTGTATGTGTGTGTGTATGCGTGTGTGTGTGCGTGTGTGTGTGTGTGTGCGCGCGTGTGTGCGTGTGTGTGTGAAGGGCCTCAATCAGGCCACTGACCAGCAACTCGTCAGTCACATGCCGGGCAGACGCAGTGGGCTCGGTGCCCGTTCCCGAGCCTGCGTCACGTGTTCTGTGTGGAACCAACTACAGGGGACCTGGGTGGCCACACCTTTGCTCACGGAGCCCTAAGGGCCGTGCCGGTGGAGAGCGCCTCTGCAGGACGTCTAGACCCGAATCCACGGGGACGGGGGGAGGGGGGTCTGATGGCAGGCCCGGCCCTGAGGGCCTCTGGCTGCACATCGCTAGACACCGGGAAAGCCAGCTCACCCGGCTTCCCTCCGGAACCGCCACGCGGCAGAGCCTCTCACAGGTGCGGCCGCTGAGATGTCCGTCTACCTCACAAGTGCACATTCCTGGGGGCACTGCCAGCTGCTGGGGCCCCTCAAACCGGGACTCACAACTGTCAAGGGTCCCCTGAATCACTCAACGCTCAGCTGCTGATTCTCAGGAACCTCCTCCGAGCCTCGGCTGTGGGACGTGCAGGGATGGGCTCTGAGGGCTGTGGCACCCAGATGATGGCCAGCACTGACTCGCCCTTCAAGTGACAACTGCTCACTTTCAGGAGGGCACGCCAGAGGAGCAGGCACCACCTGGACAAAATGCCTGCATGCTGGGGGCAGGGGGGGGGTGGAGGGGGGAGATGAGGGAGAGGGCACACAGAGCCCTGCCTGATGGTAGGCCTGGCCCTGAGGACCCTCAGCATCTCCCCTGGCCCCTCCCACCTGCCCATCTCAGCATCTACCCGGCCCCTCCCACCTGCCCATCTCAGCTACTCCCCGGCCCCTCCCACCTGCCCATCTCAGCATCTCCCCTGGCCCCTCCCACCCGCCCATCTCAGCATCTCCCCTGGCCACTCCCACCCGCCCATCTCAGCATCCCCCGGCCCCTCCCACCTGCCCATCTCAGCATCCCCCGGCCCCTCCCACCTGCCCATCTCAGCATCTCCCGGCCCCTCCCACCTGCCCATCTCAGCATCTCCCCTGGCCCCTCCCACCCGCCCATCTCAGCATCTCCCCTGGCCACTCCCACCCGCCCATCTCAGCATCCCCCGGCCCCTCCCACCTGCCCATCTCAGCATCCCCCGGCCCCTCCCACCTGCCCATCTCAGCATCTCACCGGCCCCTCCCACCTGCCCATCTCAGCATCTCCCGGCCCCTCCCACCTGCACGATCTCCAGCATCTCCCGGCCCCTCCCACCTGCCCATCTCAGCATCCCCCGGCCCTCCCACCTGCACGATCTCCAGCATCTCCCCCTGGCCCCTCCCACCTGCCCATCTCAGCATCCCCCGGCCCCTCCCACCTGCCCATCTCAGCATCCCCCGGCCCCTCCCACCTGCACGATCTCCAGCATCTCCCCCTGGCCCCTCCCACCTGCCCATCTCAGCATCTCCCGGCCCCTCCCACCTGCCCATCTCAGCATCTCCCGGCCCCTCCCACCTGCACGATCTCCAGCATCTCCCGGCCCCTCCCACCTGCACGATCTCCAGCATCTCCCGGCCCCTCCCACCTGCACGATCTCCAGCATCTCCCGGCCCCTCCCACCTGCACGATCTCCAGCATCTCCCGGCCCCTCCCACCTGCCCATCTCAGCATCTCCCGGCCCCTCCCACCTGCCCATCTCAGCATCTCCCGGCCCCTCCCACCTGCACGATCTCCAGCATCTCCCGGCCCCTCCCACCTGCACGATCTCCAGCATCTCCCGGCCCCTCCCACCTGCCCATCTCAGCATCCCCCGGCCCCTCCCACCTGCCCATCTCAGCATCTCCCGGCCCCTCCCACCTGCCCATCTCAGCATCTCCCGGCCCCTCCCACCTGCACGATCTCCAGCATCTCCCGGCCCCTCCCACCTGCCCATCTCAGCATCCCCCGGCCCTCCCACCTGCACGATCTCCAGCATCTCCCCCTGGCCCCTCCCACCTGCCCATCTCAGCATCCCCCGGCCCCTCCCACCTGCCCATCTCAGCATCCCCCGGCCCCTCCCACCTGCACGATCTCCAGCATCTCCCCCTGGCCCCTCCCACCTGCCCATCTCAGCATCTCCCGGCCCCTCCCACCCGCCCATCTCAGCATCTCCCGGCCCCTCCCACCTGCCCATCTCAGCATCTCCCGGCCCCTCCCACCTGCCCATCTCAGCATCTCCCGGCCCCTCCCACCTGCCCATCTCAGCATCTCCCGGCCCCTCCCACCTGCACGATCTCCAGCATCTCGCTGCGGCTGATGTAGCCGTTGCCGTCCAGGTCGTACATGCTGAAGGCCCACTTGAGCTTCTGCTCCAGCTTGCCCCGGGAGGTGACGCTCAGCGCGATGATGAACTCCCGGAAGTCGATGGTGCCGTCGCCGTTGGTGTCGAAGGTGCGGAAGACGTGCTCAGCGAACTTGGAGGCGTCGCCGTAGGGGAAGAAGTTGGCGTAGATCTTCTTGAACTCCTCCACGGTCAGGTGGCCGGTGGGGCAGTCCTTGAGGAAGCCCTTGTACCACTCCTGCAGCTCGTGGTCCGTGAACTCCGTGTTCTCCCGCAGGTCCTGCAGCACCTCGGGCCGCAGCTTGCTGTTCTGCTTGCCCATGGCGGCCGGCGGCTACACCTGCGGGACAGGGCTCTGCTGGGGACACGGGCAGGGCCTGGCTCCCCACCCCTACAGCCACCCAGCGGGCGAGGACTGTCCCCTGTGGGCCCTGCGCCCAGGGCTGGAGGGGCCCCCAAGGGCCACCACTGTGCCCGGCCGCCCTGGCCCCTCCAGGCCCCCTGGGGGGAGGGGCCTAGTCTACGAGGCACTGTTCCTTCTCTTCCTGGCACACACCGGACCACACTGCCCAGGGTCCGGGCGGCCCGGTGGGCGGGGACTGCGTTCTGGCGATGGAGGGGCATGGAGTGGTCCCTCCACTTCCGGGCCTGGCTCTGGGCCACTCTCCCAGGGAGGACTGGGGCCCGTGGGGCACAGGCCCGAGTCTTCCTCACGCGGCTCAACCAGGCTTCCTCGCCTGACCACGCCCCTTTCTCCGTCTCCTGAGAAGGCTCCTAATTACCCCGTTTGGGGTGCTCGGGGGGAGCCATGCTCTGCTCACAGCAAGCACCCGTTCTTCCCTGATCCCCCCTGAGCTGACGGAAGGGAGCCGCCTGAGCCCGGGATGACTGTGTGGAGCACATGGCCCTGGAGCCTGGAAATGCCCTGGACCGTGTTAAGCAAGGGAGATTTGGGCCGTTTGTGCCAGCAGTTAAGCAGCCCCAACGGGCAGTCGGGTGACTACACCCCCATCTCCAAGGGGGGGCCTGTGGAGACTCTGGGCAGGGGAACGACAGGCCCAGAGGAAGTGGGTGCAGAGCCAGCATGGGAGTTACAGGGAGGCCTGCTCCCCGGCCCGCCAGCCTCAGCCCACATCACTGGAGGACCTTTCTCTGGAGAAACTGACCCCCCGGTGCACCCCCTCCCATGACAAGGCCTTTAACTACACTACATTTTGGGTCCTTCACAAAGCTGGCCACCCTATCAGCTGCTGCTGTTTTTGTTATAAAAAATGATAAGGTATAGTCACAGAGCATGAATGTAATCCAATGTGGATCATCTTTGAGCATCTCGAATAAACTCTGAACAAATCCTATATAATAAAAGGCTAATATGCAAATCGACTGAACGGCAGGACCAGTCATTATGGCGCGCACTGACCACCAGGGGGCAGGCACTCAACACAGGAGCTGCCCCCTGGTGGTCAGTGCGCTCCCACAGGAGGAATGCTGCTCAGCCACAAGCTGGGCTGACAGCTGAGGAGCACAGTGGCCCACAGGGAGTGGGCCTAAGCCATCAGCTGGACATCCCCTGAGGGCTCCCGGACTGTGAGACACACACCTGCCCCCCCCCAAGTGTATGAATGTCATGCACCGGGCCTCTAGTATTTATTAAGGACATATTTCAAAACCAATACTATCCTGGGGTTTGGGGGTGGAGGGTGGGGAAGGGGGAACAGAGGCATCGGGCATAAGTCCTGTTTCAAAGCACTTATCAGGCCCGAGCACACAGCAAGTCACACACTGGTCCATTCGGGCAGCAAATCAACTAACAGCAACTTACTAACCGCAGCCACCATTCGCCAAGTGCTCAGGCTGTGCCAGGCGGGCGAGGGCAGACCCTTTACAAACAGTGACACAGACGCCCAGGGGCACTAGGCAACCTGCTGAGGGCCCCACAGCCCATGCTGCTGGGATGTGAGCACTGGTCTGTCTGAGCTCCACCATGGACCCTGGACCATGGACCCTGGACCCTGGGAGGTGGGCAGGGCAGGCCTGGCACGTCCGGCCATTAACAGAGAACAGCTGGGAGACAATGAGTGATGCTCAGGAAACGAAAAAGATAATTTTATTTTGGAGAAAAACTATCAAGAAATTATGGATGACGCGGAGACGCTGCAGCTCTGACCAAGGGCGCCCCCCTCCGCCTGTGTGACGTCTGACCAGGCCCATTTAAAGCCATTTTTAAAGTCGGTAACTTTAATTCTACTAGAAAGTCCAAGGCTGCTGGTGTTCTCAGAGGTTGAGCACTGACCTATGAACCAGGAGGTCGTGGTTCGATGCCCGGTCAGGGCGCACGCCTGGGTTGCGGGCTCGATCCCCAGTAGGCGACGTGCAGGAAGCAGCCGATCAATGATCTCTCTCATCACTGATGTTTCTCTCTCTCTCTCCCTCTCCCTTCCTCTCTGAAATCAATAAAAAATATATATTTTTAAAAAACAACAACTGGATGATGAGGACTTTAAAAGGCCTCTGGAGGTTCGCCCCCCCCCCCCCCAGGCCACCTCTAGGGGGCAGGGTACGCCGCAGATTCCAGGCGCTGGGGAGGCAGTGCCATCTCATCTTAGAGACAAAGCGCCGAGGCCATTCTGGGCATGCGCTGTGCGCAGCAGGTGGGCTGTGACGTGTGAGGGTCCCTGCGCCGGGGGAAGGCACCAGGGCGCCCCAGCAGGTGTCCACCTTGCTCCCTTGCCATCCACCCTGCACCCAGGACAGGTCCGCTCGCCGGCCTTCCCACTGTGACATGCACGGAGCGGGAAGTGGAGCCCGTGAGCGCCCGGCCCAGCCCACGCGCCCCGGCATCGCTGGGCCCGCCACGGTGCTGACCAAGGCTCGGCTGGCACAGGTCCTAAGAACCACACTTCCCGCCTCTCCTGAGGCTCTCGGCGAAGCAGGCGGCCTCGCGGGGACAGTGGGACCTGCATGCGCGGTGACCCGTTGCCAATGAAGCCAGGGAACCAGCTGTATCGATAGGCTGGCTGGCGGGGCAGACAGCAGACAAAAAGCAAGCTTTTCTGCAAAGCCAGCGCCATCACCCCGTTAGCCAACAGAAATGGCCCCCTGGGCAAAGGCTCCCGGGGAAGAGGAGGCTGCCGGCACTGCGCCCCTCGTTCCTCCAGGTGAGCAGGGGAGGCGCCTGCCCGCAGCCCGGCTTCCAGCGCAGCTGCCCAGAGGAAGGGCCGCGCCCAGGGCGGGGGCAGCGAGCAGGGGAGGTCAGGCTGCAGTGAGGCGGGGCGGACACCAGAGGGCGCAGCGGGGACAGGCTTCCCAGGGCCTGAGCTGGAGGCCCCACCTCCCTGCTGCCTGACCCCGCCCCGGCCACGCCCCCCGGCCTACTGGCTGCCTCAGTTTCTCCATCTATAAGCTAGACCTGTCCAGGACAGTAACTACCACTCCCATGCGGCCCACCTGGATCCGTATATGTGCCCTGAGGGTAAAACACACACTAGATGCGGACGGCTTTAGGAGGAAGACTCGATGTACGACATCTCACGGATAATTTTTCCATCCCGATTACATGTGAAATGAAACATGGTGTCCTGTGAGGTACAGCGGCTCCATTACTCGGTTGGTAACATTCATCTCACCTGTTTCCTTTTACGTGTTTAAATGTGTCTACGGGGAAAGTCAACCTCACGCGTGCAGGTGGCACTACTTCTCGTGGCTGCTCGGCCCTGGGCGACCCCTGGGACACACTGTGTATGGATCTGGGGCCACCAAACGGACCTTCTAGTTCTCAGGTCGTCAGCATCCGGTTGGCCGTGCAGCCCTGACCCAGCTGGGAGTGTCCTGTTTACTTCTCTCCCTAGTGCCCTTGAGGGAAAGATAATGGTGTTTGCATTTCCCAATGGTGCGAGTCCCACCGGTTTCTATTTTCAGCAGCTTCAAGAACTCTGCCAGGGGCCAGCTGCAGTGGGGACCCAGGTCCGATCCTGGCTGTGGCTCGGGGCATGGGGTGTGAGGCGTGGGGCGTGAGGCAGAGGGGCAGGGGCTGCGGGCAGAGGCTGCAGGAAGGGTCGTCCCTGCCCCCTCCTCCGAGGGTGAACTGGCAAAGCCGGATGATGGGGAAGGAAGAGGTCAGAGGCTCTGGAGCCCACGGTGCAGGGTGTGCCTAGATCCAGATCCCCCTGCTGACCGGGAGCCATTCCCAAGGGCTTCCTGAAACCCTGTTGCATCATCAGTCTCACTGGCGGGATGGGCTCCAGGCCAGTGACCTGGGGTTTTGAGAAATCCAATGGAAAACCCTCCTGACTTCTGTGCGCATCCCCAGCAGCTTAAAGTCCCCATGACTCCCCAAAGTTTAGAAAATAAATAAAAGGGGGGAGGAAGGAGGGGGGAGGGAGGGGAAGGAGGGGAGGAGGGGGAGGGCAGGGAAGGGAAGGGAGGAGGGGGAGGGAGGAAGGGGAGGGCAGGGAAGGGAGGGGGAGAAGGATGAAGGGAGGGGGAGGGAGGGATGCAGGTCAAGCAAGGCACAGAATCCCTCCCCACTTAGCCATCCTCCCTTTCCACTCACCGGAGGCTGAAGTGCCCTAACTGAGGCTGGGAAAGGAAGAGGTGGGGAAAGGAAAGAAAAACCCCTAAGAGAATGCTCTTTCCTTGCAGGCAGGGCTAATGCCCAGGAAGAGGACCTGTGGGCCACCCTCCCACACCTCTGCCTCAGAGACACCAGTCCATGCACGTGGCTCCTTGACTCAGTGCCCCGCAAACTCCTACTCACCCACCAAAGCCCAACTCAAATGCCACCTCCTCCGGGAGGCACTTCCCAACTCCCTGCAAGGGCTCTTTACTTTGCATCCCAGCATTTCCTTAGCCTATTTCCAGGAAGGCCTTGGCTTTTGTGATTCATTTACTGTTTCCCTGTGAGCTCCTGGAGGAAAGGGAATCCCTGCCAGCAGGAATCCTGCTAAGCCTGTTCTAGCCCCCGGGCCTCACATGGCCGCTCCCTGCACCGGGTTTCCTCCCCTGAGGACCTGCAAGGCCGCTGCCTCAGCTTCAGGCCTTCCTGGGGACGCAGCCCCTGAGGACAGCATCGGACCTCTGCCCAGCCCTCGGCCCTTGGCCCTCGGCCCTCATCAGAGCGGCTCTCCCCCTGGCACCATGTACATAGATCTGTTGGCCGCCTGCCTCCTTGTGTTCGCTGTGTCCCCGCAGCACCTGGAGCAGGGCCTGGTGCATCAGTGCTCGGCAAACACACGCGAAAGAACGGCTTTTTGGGCGGGGGGGGGGGGGGGGGAGGAGACATATGTAATACTTTTTGTAATACTTTAAGCAATAAAAAAATTAAAATTAAAAAAAAAAAGA